TGCAACAAAACATTTCAACATTCTCATCCTTGTATCTCGTGTGATAACAATGATTGGTTATTGGTTGTGGGCTTCGGTTTCCGAATTAAGACTCAAGAGTAGTCCTTTATGCGTCGCGGACTGGTTAGCTACGTGAGCGAGCCATGCTCCTTAAAGAAGCTCAGAAGCCTCCTCGGGCGTTCACAGGCTTCTAGGAGCGATTTTGTATCGGGAATGATACTTGCCTGTTGTGTGGCCACTCCCTCGCATTCCAGGACTAGTTGGGCGGCCGTTTCCTCTCCTTCCAGACATCCCCTGCACAGAGGGCTGTCCGTCGCATTGATGATGAATAGGTGTCGGTTCAGGGCTAGGTGTCCTGTTATAGTTCCGACAACTATTCTGATTGACTGACTCTAAGACTGATCAGTCTGCAGGTGAGTCGTGGTGCGACTTGAGTCAGCACCAGTTTGGACTGGTTGCAGCCGGGTGAGTTTTTTCACCTCCGGTTATGTGCTTCACGTGTCCGTTGCCTGGCCCAGAATCGTATTTGGTTAAACGGTATTGACAATGATTTTTACAACTTGTAATTTAATATGTGTTTAGATTATACTTAAATAGACTAAGCACAAGTTCACGAGCCGTTCAGGTCTGTTTAACATATATTTTTAATTTACAGTAATAATAAATAATAATATCGAATTTGTTAACAAAATCAAGAATATTAAATTTATATCTGAACACAGACTTGTTTTTATCTGATTAGTTTATTAAAACTGTTTGTTAGTAGCATAAGCGTGAGAAAAATAAATCGTAACGAAAATTATAATAAATTATAATAAATATTTGAATCGGTAATGAAGTGCAAATGTTAATACTTGCAATAAGTTACGTATTGGTAGCCATCATTAATTTAAATTGCATTTGTATCGTACAAAGTAACGTAACTAGTTATTCAGATACCGTTTCAGGTACGGGCAATTAACCACACATTACAATACTAAGAAACCATGCACACCAACCGGTATCCCTCATGCTTGTGTCTATTAAGGACCAGTGTAACAATAATTATAACTCGACGACGTCACACGACACTCCACACACAGCAGTCTACCAATACCAAATTAGTCAAAGCCACTATGGTAACCAGCCTCCTAATGAACAGCGAGCAGATTTCTATAGAAGTTGTACCTGTTCTGTTTTTTAAAAAAAGCTTCAGTAGCAACCGAAATTACTAGTATTCCCGTTAACCCTTCCCGCTAAGCAAAATTGCTTTTGTTAGGAGTGGGTTCACGTTGGTAGTGTACTGGTCAGGATTTTAACCAACGACCTCTTGATCGGAAGTCCAATGCCTTAACCAGTAGGCTACCGCCATTTTTAATTTTATTTTTCAATTTTATTAACTGCCAACAGAAACTTTTGTAATTAGATTATTTTTATATAGTAAACACCATTTGATGTTCCTTTTTACGCATTTGTGCAGGACTCTGATTATTACTACACACATACATAGTTATTATGACAAGAATCAATTAAATAAGCTCTAGTTTATTTCTTATTTACATATTTAATTAATTAAATTACTGCTTAGAAAAATTGAAATAATGATTGCCACTTTTGATTTTTGAGTCGTTTTATAAGCGAAATGAAACATCACTAGGTACGCTCTGAATATAACTTTTAAATTTCTGACAAAAGCAACGTTTTTTTTTAAAAAATGATAATCTTTTTTTTCTGGTCTAAATTGTATATTTGTTTTTTCTAAGACTGTAAAAAATTAAAGATTTTTTTCGATATGTCATATGTGACCATGCTGGGTACGATTTGGCCGATGTTCTTTTCTAAAGACGAGCATATTTCAAATAAATGACACCTAGACATAAAAAATAATTTTACTCATCACACAATTCATCATCATCATCAACAGACAAATGACGACCGGATGGCGTATTGGTTTGTGTAACGACCTGCTACTCCAAAGGTCGCGGGTTCGATTCTCGCTCAAGTCAAACATTTGTGTGCATGAACATTTAATGTTTGATTTGGTCTGGGTGTTTCTATGTATAATAAGTATGTATTTATAAAAAAAACAGTTGTCTAGTACCCATAGTACAAGCTCTGCTTAGTTTGGGACTAGATGCCGTTGTGTGAATGTAGTAAAATATATTATATTATATTATTATATTATATTAATTATTTTTGTCATATGTTTTATTCATGATGAATATTTTTAAGTATATTAATAGTTTCTATTACACATCTTGGTTTCTACAAATATTTCTAGGCATGAATATGGCTGCTTGCATTGGAATGGGTGTTTAAATACACGTTGTTCAGATATAAAGAAATCAAAATGCACCGTATGCCCACTGAAGCAAAACCGACGCACTCCCAAAATTCAAAAAAGTTGTTAAAAATTGCTATGAGGTAGTTAAAGTTAAAATCATATAATAATAATAAGCTTGTTAATTTTTTTTTAATATATTATTATATTTTATTCTTTGTTTTATGTTTGTTCAATTAAGTGTTAAAAGTGTTAAAATCACATAGATGTTTTTTCTATTTTTGGTTTTACATAGTAGTGTTAATCTATCATGTTGTGACGCCTTAAAATGTTGTGCATTAATCTTAATATAATAGATGAATGCTTTAGATTTTACTAAATAATGTAACAACTACTGGCTATCCAATAAATTAATAAATAAAAACAGTATCTTAACATGGCTATAAATATAATCTATGCATGTTTTTCGTCCATCTTACACGCTTTGTAATATGTCCTAGAATATTATCATTATTATTAACAATATAAAGCTTAGAATATAAATAAAGATATTTCGCGTAACGTTTAAATCTATAACAGAACCAAAATAGCTAGAAACAATATCAGTATTGAATGTAAACACTATCATCAATCATGCCGCACCTTATCCCTTATCGAACCTGTCTACAACTTAGAGAAATTCGTTCACCGTTTACAAAACCCAACCGAAATCAAGCGATCGATCAATTAAAGTAAAACAACTTATCATTTCAACCGAAAAAGAACCACGAATCCATTATACAAGGGCATTAACAAACAAATGTTCACACTTAACCTTTCTTTCTGACTTGCGATATACATCTCTCGGCGAAGCCTCATTATTACTGACCAACAAATATTCAATATCATCGTTTATAGCTCTTATGTCTTCAACATAAGTTTCAAAATCATTACAATTAACTATAAATGGAATTTTGTCGAAGCTCTTAACACAGGGGGGTATCTCAGGTGTCGTGGAAAACTTAATTTATGTTAAACTCGTCCGCGCTGCGATTATTTAACTGGCGGCGATGGAGCGATAAGGAAGATTAATTGGACTGGGCGTCGGATAAAAAATGCGAGGACAAGCAACCCGTGTGGTTTTGTCTGCCGAAACGATACGAACAAAAGCGGTTTTCGAAGGTTTATTTATGGTATTGAAATCGGCGAAGGTTCTAATTTAAACTCTTTAAATTGGACAATGTTAATTACTCCGGGTTTTTGCACTGCCTCAATTCATACTAACAATAAGAACAAAATAAGCTGGTAAGAAAATAAGGTTTTATGTTATTCAGGACTCTTTAGTATCTTATATGTACTGTATTGCTTGTTGTCTTGTCGTTTTACTGTCTTGTACTCCTAGTAGGGGAGCCCATGACGCTAAATCGGCATTTACTCGAGCGTCATGGGGTCCTATTGCATTTGAAAGATTAGGTAATATAATGAATAAAAATTATCTAATGTTTCCACTTTCAGCGGTGGGCAAGGTTTCTACAGCTTTTCAAAAAAAATAAGGGGAGGAAATGGAAAAAAAAATATTCGAGCGCATCAGATATTTTGGGGATATGTTATTTGGACACCAAAAATGCTCCCATTCAAAGGTCTGTCCATATACTGTACTTGCAACAGGTATAGGACTTAATCCCAGTAATTTTTTTGGTGATGTGGAGAAAACAGGAAATTGGTGCATTAAAGACAAAATTATTTGAATGTGCTAATACAAATTAATATTATTAGCTAAGCAAAACTTAAATGTATATATTATATACATACACTTTTATATACAAACCTACATTCAAATAAATATATAAAGCATACTACAACATTTTAGATATTCAGTGTTTAAGAGCTTATCACAATCACCTAAAAATATTTAATCAACTACAAAGAACGGGTTTCTTTAAAATTCGACCAATAATATAATAAATAAACTAACTGATATACGAGTACACCACCCCACAGTTATTTGCCATAGTAAAACACGATCGATAAGTTTAATTAAGTCCTTAATAACGGACATACTAGCACACATCAAAACAATGTTGTGATATATTTAATAGTGCCATTGTATCTACTTGTGAATTGCAAAAGAGTGGCCATGAGTTTGTTTGCCCTTTCTTCTCATAAGGCTCAACCCCTTGGAAACGGGCGGTTGTAGATCGGCACAGGCATATCATAGATTTTGTATGGGTTTGATTTTGTTAAATTTATTTGGTTACTATTTGACAAAACAGAGATTGTTGCTTTTGTGTGTGTTGATCTATGACTTTAGAGTCTACATGGAAGACGATTTCAAACAATTTTGAAAATTTTATGAAATAAAGAAAGTTTGAGTTTGAGTTTGAGTTTGATAAAAGTGACTGCGTGCATCAAAAGGTAACTTTAGCAAATAAGGGTTGTCGACCCAATTTAGACAATTTCATTAAATTAACTCGATTAAATATTGCATTGGTTTGATGTCGTCAAAGTTATTTTTAGCTCTAATCTCAAGTAAATATATTGTTCATTGATCTCTTTTACTCATTCAGTTTGATATAGAAATTATGCACTTTGTTTATCATTATGTATTTTTTTACTTACAATAATGTTGTGTGTTATTTTATGAGTGGATATATAAAATGTGACTATTATAAATTAACAAACGGTTCTAAAAGGCAATGGTTATACTTAAAAAAACCTTGAAACTGCTTCAAAATTGTATGACAATTCTGTGACTGTTACCATGGAGAGAGAAGTAACTTCGAATGATGAACACTTAATTGGCAGTGAGTTCAAAGATGATTATATAGTGAAAAGTATTGGTGCATTTGGTCCTTGGCAGGCTAAAATTTGTATAATAGCAGCTTTAGTGAGATCCACGGGAATATGGAACATGTTATCAATAGTGTTTTTAACCCCAAAAACTGAGTTTTCTTGTGTGAAATTTAAAACTTCTAATGTTACGCTTGTAAAAAATTCCACGTGCTACGAAAATTGTGTCAAATATGAATTTCATGAAGATGTTATGTTTGAGAAGAATTTAATTTCAGAATTTAATTTAGTTTGTGATAGTGCCTGGAAGGCCGGATTCACGCAAACTTTGATAATGTTTGGATCTTTAATCGGTGTATCTTTATTTGGGTGGATATCAGATAGGTAATAACAACAATATACCGATCATTTTATCTTATGTAATTATTTCAAAGTTACAATTTATTACTGTTTTAGATTTGGTCGTCGCATAGGTTTGATTATATCGACATCAATAAACCTAATACTTATGATAGTAGCGCCTTTATCTCCAAGTTACTGGATTTTTAATGGAATAAGATTTTTGATTGGTATTACTACTGGTGGTGTTATGGTAATCAGCTTGGTATTAATAATAGAAATTGTTGGACCTCAATACAGAGAAGCAGCTGGAAGTTTATCTATGATATCAGATGGCTTTGCTCAGGCATTGTTATCTGCGTTTGCTTATTTTGCAGTGGACTGGAAAATGTATCTTTTGGAGTATGGTATTTTATCAATATTTATTTACATGCTCATCATAAGTTTATCTGAGACACCTAGATGGCTTATGGCTAAGGGCAGAGTAAAAAAAGCACTTGACGTCATGACTAAAGCAGCAGAGAGGTGAGTGAAATAAAATTTTGATTTTTCAATTAACAAAATCAAATGTCAACTTACTTTGTTTTTTATTTCAGAAATAAATTGAACGTGACAGTCAGCGATATACAATATAATATTTTAAGAGCATGTGACGAAATGATGATTAATGATAAAAATATACGCAAGTTTACGTATTTGGATCTTTTTAAAACAAAGGAATTGGCATTAAGGACAGTTTCTTCAGTTGTTATTTGGTTCGTGGCTGGAGTGTGTTATTTTGGAATTAATCAATACATAACATTTATTGGATCCAATTTATACTTATCTGTCGTTATACTAGGATGTATTCAAGTAAGTCGTATAATAATAATAATAATAGCTTCACACATATCACACACGGCCGTCTGATTTCAAACTAGGCAGAGTCTCTGCTATGGTATCCAGACTGCTGATAAACATACTTATATATTTCTAAATACATACATATCATAGATAAATTACACACAGAAGAATTATTTGACCTGGGTGAGAATCGAACCCACGACCTCCGGTTTAGCAGCCAGGGTCACTAACCACTGGACCAATAGGCCCGTTAAATTAAAACGTATATTCATTACAATACGAGAATAAATATATTTTAAATGTTTTAGTTATATTTGTTCCATGATATTTTCTTTACAGGTACCAACATGTCCTTTAGCTATGGTTTTGAACAAATCGTTTGGCAGAAAAGTGATATTAGTGCCCATATTTATGTTTACTGGGGTAACAATGTCAATATTAGTTTTTGTGCCACCAGGACATACAGGATGTACAGTACTGGGAGTAGTCGGTTTTGCAGCGACTTGTACGATATATGGAGTGTTGTGTGTGTATGCTTCAGAATTGTTTCCTACTCCTCTAAGGACCATGGCATTTGGTGTAAGCGTTGCTGGATCGAAAATAGGAGCAATGGTCGCGCCCTTTATTGCGAATATTCATCCTCATTGGATACCATCTTTAGTTTTTGCTATATTACCATTTGTTGCTTCGATGTTTTGTATGCTGTTACCAGAAACGAAAGGACAAATATTATTTGATATCATTTAATATACTGGTGTAATATCGGTTTACTCATATATAACATTTGTAAATTTTATTTTTTTGTACCCCGGCGTGCATCTCGGTGAAATTACAAGTTTAAAGTTCTATCTATGTCTCTGTGTTTCTACAGATATACATTGGGATAATGAATAGGTCGTCGATTTAGTACTCGTGGTAAAAAAAGTTAAAACGAAAATTTTTCCTCTACTAATAGTTACCTTAGCTAAACCGTAAATGTTCAACATATGAAACAGAAACATTTATAAATGTGTTTAAAGCTACGACCTACACAAAATTGTTTTATATATAACATTTATATAAACATAACTCTTTAAAATAGTAAACAATTTAGAGAGAAAACAGAAATCACCAAAAAGTCACCAAAAAGGTAGAGACAGCATTAACATAAAACCTACGTAAATTATTACAACCAGGTTAAATAAATAATCTGCTACGATGTCAAAAAATAACAGAGTAAAGCTATAAAAATAGTTGTTTTTTTAACATATGAGTCATTTGACACACTTTAGCTTACGATATAATAATCTTAACAAAAGTGTAACCTAACGTGTCTGAATCACGATAAAATATAATAAATTTGTATTCATCGTGTCTTTGATTTTCGATCGTAGAGGTGGACTTTATAAGTACAACTAAGTTACAACAGCCTAATCTTATGTATCATGTACTCTTTCCTCAAAGGCCGCCAACGCGCTTATGACTCCTGAGTTGCAGGCGCTCATGGGCGGCGGTAGTCGGCTCTTCCATAAAAAAATAATTCCACCCATCATCATGCTGTCCAAATTATTTATTTTACCAAACAGATAAATCAAGGAGACAACCAAGACAAGCTTAACTGTCATGGAGATTTTCTAAAAATCACCAGGCGGTTGGAGCTCCAGCAACCTCCCTCACTAGTCGAAAAGCAGCGAAAGCCGTGGTATCACAAGTGGTCGAGGTGGCCCATACTTAAAAAAGCATGGCACCCCCATTATTAGATATATTATGCAGAATATAATTTATTTCTGCAAGTAAATCTTTTTAGATATTTTTACAAGTCGGACTTTACAGCTAGGCGCCGGCATTTCCTAAAACTCGCTCTTGGAAGAAACGCCTAAATCAAATCAAATCAAATCAAATCAAATCAAATCAAATCAAATCATTTATTTGTGATACATGGGTTACATACAGGTGTTCATTACATAATTATTAATGATGTTCATTCCATGATCTGCCATTTGGGCATACAAATTATTAAGCAATATATTGATTAATATTTAAAATTATAGTATTTAAAAAAATATGTACATATATTAAAATTCTGATTATTTGATAAAAAATTCATTAAAGATTATATATAAATTCTATTATTACTGTAGGTCATGACATACGCAAGAAATTCAACAAGAATCAACGCCAACATTAAACTTGGACATGAAACATTTAAAAAAATCGAGTCTATAAAAACTCATCAACAGAGTAATAGCATTTTTCTGTGAGAAATTTGAACAATTCATTTTTAAAGACATAGATGTTGCCACATTCTTTTATATTGTTAGGAATCTTATTGTAGATCTTTGTGGACATAGCAAACACACTCTTCCCAAAGAGGGTAGTTCTATAGTGACAGGTAAGGTTATTATACAGGTGACTTCTATTTCGCGATTTAAGCTCTAATGTAAACAGTGACGGATTATGTCTAATAAACAATGCCATTTCAAAAATATACAATGATGGTACTGTAAGTATTTTTAATTTTTTAAAATAATTCTTGCAGCTGTCAGTTCTTTTAAGACTGCACATAGCTCGCACGCACCTTTTTTGACATTTAAAAACTCTATCCCAGTTGGTAGTATTTCCCCAGAATATGATTGCATATCTAAGTCTAGAAGCAACATTACTATGATAAGCTACGAGTAATGAGTTAAGATTGACCTTTTTTGCTAGCATGTATAGACTATAAGATGACTGTGACACTTTTTTACAAACGAAATCAATATGACTTTGCCATTTCAAATTGTCATCTATGTGTACACCGAGAAATTTTGTTGTAGTCGTCAATTCAACTTTTTCACCATTAAATTCTATTAGAGTATGTAAAGTGTTTTTTGTTTTTTGTTTAAATTGCATTAATTTAGTTTTATCAATGTTAATTAGTAAATTATTATTTTGAAGCCATTGAATTATTGAATTTAAACTATTATTTATAATATTTTCATCATAGTATATAACAGTACAGTCATCAGCAAATAGTACCATACGATCTGTAGTAGATTTTGGCAGGTCATTGATATAGATAAGAAAGAGCAGTGGGCCCAGAACACTACCTTGTGGAACTCCATATTTTATGCTTCTACTCTTGGACTTATAATTTATTTCATATTTAGTTTTAGGACAGATTTTGACAATACTTGTGATCTGAGTTCTGTTACTAATGTAAGACTTTAGTAAGTCCAAAGTGTTTCCCCTAACACCATACGTTTCAAGCTTACTCAGTAGTATACTATGGTCCACGCAGTCGAAGGCCTTTGACATATCCATATACAAAGCATAGACAGGTTGTCTTTTATCAACTCTAGGATACACTAAACTTAAGAAATCATATATAGCTAAATTTATGGACATATTTTTACGAAAACCTTTCTGATCCGGCGTAAAAATATTATTCCTTTCAAAGTAGTCATACACAAACCACATAAACAAACCACAGAGGTGTTTTTTTTTTTTAGGTTTGTAGAATGTTAAAGTGAACTACGTAAGTGTAGTTTAGGGGGTTGGCCTTTAGGAGAAATATACAACTATGGCCTAATAATAATATAATAATATTCTAAGACATTCACACAACGCCATCTAGTGACAAACTATGCAGAGCTTGTACTATAGCTACTAGACAACTGATATAAAATCATGTAAACTTTTTTTGTAAATACATACGTATTATACATAGAAACACAAATCAAACATTAAATGTTCATGCACACAATTGTATGAATCGAACCTGCGACCTTTGGCGAAGCCAGGACACCACCCGGGCGTCTCGTGGAAAAAAGACTGAAGAACACGAATACAGTAAGTTAAATTACGTTTTAAGGCTCATTGTCTCGTAATCGTAATTATTTTGGTCACAAAATGTTTTTTTGCTTGTGTTTATCTCCTAAAGTTATCGTCATTTTTACGTAAATGTCACTTGATTGTAAATTTTTCTGCAAGAAGTAGGAGGGACATAACAGTAACCGCCTACCACCCGAAATACTTATTTGACATCCTAGATTAAAACACTTAAAATAAAAGTTGACAGCTGTCTAGACTATTAGGACTAAGCACCACACCCAAGCAATAGAAAACATAACATGTAATCTCCGCGAATCCATGTTAGAAAATCATAAAACTGCCTTTAATATAAAAATATCAAAAACACGATGAATTTAGGTTTCGTTGAAGCGTTAAACATGTCAATAAATTACATTTCATTAATATTCAAGAGGCGATATAAAAGCTGACCGGTAATAAATTAATATCGTTATAAAATTGACGGCATCGTAAAAATATGTTTGGTTTTAATTATCATTTGATTTCGCCAATGTAATTTATGTAAACACCATTCGAATGGAATTGGGACGCGGACGATGGATGTGGATAAGCAGGTACTGCTTTTTGTGGTTGTAAATCTGTTTCGTTGATTTAGTAACTTTAATGTGGCAACTGTTGTCCACTTAGGGCCATTAGGAAAAAATAATTTGTGCAAAAATTATACGCGGGTATTATAAAAGTTAATTTTAAGTGTTTTTTTTTTTTGACATTCCCATTATTGTGTAATAAATTACTGATTAATTTTATTTAGGTAGCCATACGTCTTTCTTCATATTTAAAATAAAAACTTTGGCTCCTCTAATATTTTTGAAGAAATAACACATTTTTCATTTATATAAATGGTAACACTAGTGTCACAAAGTGTGACCAGCTTTTTTAGAAAAAGAAAAGTAGGCGAGACGGCTAATACGGCGATAATATAATATAATACCTCAATAATATATTTATTTAAAATTTTAAAAACAATGTCATCGCAGCCTTGTATTAATTGACTGATAGTGGATTATAAACGATCCAATCATTTTACAGCTTGTTTTTAATTGACTTTTTATAGGTTTATTAAGATGTCAAAAATCGTTAAAATTTTATGTCAATTCCGAAAATTTTGCTTAGTTTAGAATTTATTTAGTATATTTGTATTATTTTAGTAAATTCATTGAGCCACTCAAGGAGAACTCATAGCGATATCAAATCTATATATTGTACTCAATATATCTTAATTTCATAAAAAAAATGTTTGAAATCGTCTTTAATGTAGACTCTAAAGTCGTAGATCAACACACACAAAAGCAACAATATCTGTTTAGTCAAATGTGTATATTAAATTACTTAAAAGTAATCTAAAAAAGCTGGTAACACTAAGTTAAATTAGTGTTGCCATTTTTTCTACATGTAAGCTTTAAAATACATGGAAGTATTGTGTTATTATCTATACATATAAAATTAACAACTAAATTAATTATACTGATCCATAAACTCAGAGCCTAAACCACTGAGGCAACAAGATCTGGTAGCTGATCTTTATTATATTGAAGCACACTCTAGGTAAGAATTTGTCCAACCCTAAGGATTAAAAATAATAATAATATATACTATTAATAATATAATAATATATATTATTAAAGTCAGCAATTAAAGTTAGCAAAAAGTGTCGTTACAACTTTTTGTGAGATTTTTTTCCGTCTAGCCCCCTTTCACAACGCGCGATAAGGAACTTCGTTCCAAAAAACGATGAACGGTTGTATGGGAATTCGTCATTCTGAAAGTTAAAAACACGAAATTGGAAAGAATCATGCTAGCGAAGACGCTGCCAATATCTAGTATGTAATTTACGTGTATTACACCTATTTATTACAACTACAAATAAATCGTTGATCGAACCAAAAATATTTACATTGCAATGTTAAATGAAGTGC